AAAGTTTAGGTTTCTGTTTATATGAGAACGGCAGTTTTTAAGAATCCAGAACAAAGTTTAGGTTTCTGTTTATATGAGAACGGCAGTTTTTAAGAATCCAGAACAAAGTTTAGGTTTCTGTTTATATGAGAATGACAGTTTTTAAGAATGTTCTTTGTCAACTTTAAATAACATTTTCACAATCAAGCCTTCCAGTGAAAATGTACAATTTCCTTTTCATCCTTTATTTTTGCTCAAAGTAGGCCAAAACACAATTAAAAACCTGTTAACTTGAAAGTAAACCTATATTTGTAACCAAAAACAGTGCTGAACATTTGTTGATACTATAACCATGATATTTTCATATTGGCCAATATAGATCCATGCAAGTACAAGAATTTTATAGGATAATTCATTATCATAACTTACATAACAAAATGTTTGACATCACACACAAAGTAATGGATTTCTTCCTTTAAGTTTTACAGAAGAATATAGAAAGTCCTATTTATTGTTAGTCCAGTATAAATTATATATATGTTTAACTCTGAATTTACTTTAATTCTTTCTGAAAAATTAATATAATTATTTTTGTCATCAACATTCTGCTAAGACTTGAATAAATAAATTTCCTGAAGACAAAAAATGGATGACTTTCAAAACGTCGTCCTCTACATTTGTAGGTTTCTACAACAGACAGTTGTTGTCCATTTCAAACTTAGATTCATCACATAATATAAATATTGGAGATAAAAAATCGTAAACTAATTATGATTTGATGTTTAGGGAGCTGCGCTAGGAGTAATGGCAGGTCAAATGACATATGGGAAGAAACAGTGGGAGAAATATGATGTTCAGATGAGAAAAATTATTCCTGTTATGCATAATGCCATGAAGGAACTGGTCACCATCATCGATGCCGACACAACGGCTTTCAGCGATTATATGGTAAGTTTTCCTTTTGTTACATGATGGATCGATGCCGACACAACGGCTTTCAGTGATTTGTTACATGATGGATCGATGCCGACACAACGGCTTTCAGTGATTATATGGTAAGTTTCCTTTTGTTACATGATGGATCGATGCCGACACAACGGCTTTCGGCGATTATATGGTAAGTTTTCCTTTTGTTACATGATGGATCGATGCCGACACAACGGCTTTCGGCGATTATATGGTAAGTTTTCCTTTTGTTACATGATGGATCAGTGATCAGACTTAATCTAGGGGTGTGTGTGTGTGTGTGTTACTGTCAAGATTTGATCCACTATAAGTAGTTAAGTCCTGCTATTCGATCAGACAAGAGGAGCTCAAGAAGTGGTGGGGGTTAACTATCAGTTCTAGAGAAGGGATGGTTATGTACGGATGGTCCTTGTCAACTTGGTCTCATACATAATTTTATTTAAAACCTGAATTCTTTTAAGAACAGAAATCTGCTTTAAAAAAGTTAATTTTTAATAAAGTTACATTTAATAAGACCTTTTTTTTTTCCAATGACAACTATGTTTACTCAAAAACGTTAGGATTTTATAGTTTTTTATGTACAAATTCTCAGTTTACAATATGCTTGAGAATATAATGTTTACTTTCATAAAGTTTGTTTCTTGTTCAGTACCCAGGTAATGATGATGTTAAAAAACATTAAATATGATCTGTACTAGTGTGCATGTGAAGAAATCAAGAAAAAATTATATGTAGGAAAAATTTGGCATTGTCATATAACGTTAAATAAATCAAATGTTTCTAATAAAATTCTTCATTACTGGCTCTTGTACTTTGAGCTTGGAAAGTAAAGATTTACATTTACTACGCATAGTTTAAAGTTTACACTGACTACATTTACTAACGCATAGTTTAAAGTTTACACTGACTACATTTACTAACGCATAGTTTAAAGTTTACACTGACTTGAAATTATATATTGTTGAGTGTTATTTCTGGTATTCATTTTTGACTGGACAGGCGTGGCCAGTGTTGATATTATTTGTTGGACAGGTAGCATCACTGTTGGAGTTATTTGTTGGACAGGCATGACTACTGTTGGCATTATTTGTTGGGTAGGCAGCACCACTGTTGTCATTATTTGTTGCTGTGTCCTAGATTTCCTGTTACATTCTATGTCCTATTTTAATTACTTATCAAATGTTGAGTTTTAAATTAGTAGTAAATTTTCCAGGCAAGATTCTGAACAATTCTTATAGTTCCTTAACTAGTACTTGCTATATTGTAAACATGAATTGGGGCTAGTTTTAGTAGACCAAAACTGCAAGAAGATGTGCTCTGTACTTTGGGTTGTTAGTGTGTGATAAGAGTCGTAGTTAAATCCCACTATTTGGTCACACAAAAGTATCCCAATTGTTGGTGACAGGTGCTGTTTACTAGCTGCCTTTCCTTTAGTGTGTTAGTTCAAAGTTAGAGATGGCTGTATGCAGATTGTGTAGTTTTGTGTGAAAATTTTGAAAGAAGCAAACAGGTAAACACAAAGTCTTGGGGAGTTCCTTGTACTCGGGTAAACACAAAATTGTGGGGAGTTCCTTGTACTCGGATAAACACAAAATTGTGGGGAGTTCCTTGTACTCGGGTAAACACAAAATTGTGGGGAGTTCCTTGTACTCGGTAAACACGAAATTGTGAAGAGTTCCTTGTACTCAGGTAAACACAAAGTTGTGGGGAGTTCCTTGTACTCGGATAAACACAAAGTTATGGGGAGTTTCTTGCACTCGGATAAACACGAAGTTGTGGGGAGTTCCTTGTACTCGGGTAAACACGAAGTTGTGGGGAGTTCCTTGTACTCGGGTAAACACGAAGTTGTGGGGAGTTCCTTGTACTCGGGTAAACACGAAGTTGTGGGGAGTTCCTTGTACTCGGGTAAACACGAAGTTGTGGGGAGTTCCTTGCACTCGGATAAACACAAAGTTATGGGGAGTTTCTTGTACTTTATATGTGTGTCTGATCCAGAAAATGTATGATAATTTACTGCTAACTGCCATAATGAAAACTTATCTGAGGTTCTCTGTTTCGTTTATACAGGCAGCTCTGAGATTACCCAAGAACACTCCAGAAGAAGTTTCAATGTAAGAATTTATTCATTACCATAGACTAGTGCACTTTCCAAGTGTCATATACAGTGTTAACTTTCCAAGTGTCATATACAGTGTTAACTTTCCAAGTGTCATATACAGTGTTAACATTCCAAGTGTCATATACAGTGTTAACTTTCCAAGTGTCATATACAGTGTTAACTATTTTACTTCGTATACTTAATATTTGTTACATTTAGAATGGATTGTTTCTTTTAGCTGAAAATATATCATGCTTGTTTATGCTATACAAGCGTGAAAAACAGATTTTCACGCGTCTTGTTCTAGAGGGGTAATGCTATAAGTGTGGGATGTACCATGTATTAGAAGCTTGGGAAAATAACCACTCCGTTAAACAACCGTGTAGTTATTGACAGTCCGCGAGAAGCTGGAACCACAAAAACAAGTAATGTTAAGCCAGGAAATCTCTGTGCAATAATAAAAGAAATTCCAGCTTAATGCATGCCTCCTGAAGCAGAGTATAGCAAAATAATTTGTTATTTAACACAAGTACAACACTCCATAGTTCCTTTCCAAGTCATGACTTTGATGCTATGGAAACGCTTCGACACTCCAAAAAATTTATTTTGGTATAATATTAAACAATATAAGTTAATCTACACAATGTTATTAACATTTGGCTTATACTTGATGTTTATTGCTTGCTGTGAATTTATAATGTGGTGCAGTATACGTTTTGTTTCAGTTTCAGTATAATATAAAACAATGTATTAACTTATTATTATTATTTGACTTGTAGTTAACTTGCGACACTTGATTTGGTAACCAGCATGACATAAGCCGGAGAATTTTTACAACTTTGTTGTTGTTGTTGTTGTTATAACTGTGTAACTTCCATTTATAATTTTAAAATAAAGCTAAAAATTAAGACTGAAATTTATAATCTTGTATAAATAACTACAATTATGATTGTATATAAGTTCGAGAAATTTTGATATAAACTTGCGACTTGCAGGTAATATGTTATTATTGCTTAAGGACCCTTATTTTTCTGATCTTGTCCCCTTCCTTGGTAGAAAATGTAACATAAGTTCTGATACAAGTATAAGTAATTTAAAGTTTCAGCATACTCACTACGTATTGTTTTCTTCAGAGTTCTTTTATTTATTAGAGGCAAAATGACGATGTTTTTGAAGTAATTTGTTTATGTTAGGAAGCAGACAGCTATGGAAGCAGGCTTGAAGAAAGCTATTGATGTACCTATGAGTCTCGCAAGAAATGTCAATAAAGTCTGGGAAACTGCTAAAGAACTTGCATCTTTAGTAAACATTGGAGCAAAATCGGATTTCCAAGTAAGATTTTTTTAAAGTGTGGTTCTTCCAGGAGACCATACAGTTCATGATCTGTAAATTGGATTTACAAGTAAGGTTTTTTAAAGTGTGGTTCTTCCAGGAGACAATACAGTTCATGATCTGTAAATTGGATTTACAAGTAAGGTTTTTTAAAATCTGGTTCTTCCAGGAGACAATACAGTTCATGATCTGTAAATTGGATTTACAAGTAAGATTTTTTAAAGTGTGGTTCTTCCAGGAGGCAATACAGTTCATAATCTTTATATATATCTGGATAGGTGCACTGATAATTCATGTGATGCTCTAACATTTAGGACCCTATATCTAAGTGATATCTAAATCAATACGTGTCATATGTTTGAAATAAAAATAGTAGTGACCAAATGTGCTTTGTAACTATTAGTGTGATTGGTCAGTATAATTATAGTGTGAATGTATTACATTATATTATTGGTAAGTGTGATCTTTGAAGCACTTTCATGCATGTGACATATATTCAGGGAGAATTTCTTTAGCAAATTATTATAGATTTATAATAATCCTCCTTGATTTAAATCATTTGACCTTTCTACCAAAACTAATCCTCCTTGGTTTAAATCATTTGACCTTTCTACCAAAACTAATCCTCCCCGAGTTAAATCATTTGACCTTTCTACCAAAACTAATCCTCCTTGATTTAAATCATTTGACCTTTCTACCAAAACTAATCCTCCTTGATTTAAATCATTTGACCTCTAGGCTATCACTTCATAAATAATCCTCATGTAGCTTTATTTTGTAATTTCACATTGGTATATAAATGTTAATGATAAAACCAGTGATTACATTATAGTAAATATTGTTACAGTTTTACTGAATTGTGGAAAAATAGGAATATTTTTTTCTTGGTATTTTACCAGAAAAGAACAAACTAAAAGCTACATTATTAATATCATAAATTATTTAGGATATATGGCATCGTATGTACAGGGTTGTTATAAAATTAATTGGTTAATTTGATTAACTAAAAGCTACATTATTAATATCATACATTATTTAAGATATATGGGATCGTTTGTATAGGGTTGTTATAGAATTAGTTGGTTAATTTGATTAACTAAAAGCTACATTATTAATATCATACATTATTTAAGATATATGGGATCGTTTGTACAGGGTTGTTATAGAATTAATTGGTTAATTTGATTAACTAAAAGCTACATTATTTAAGATATATGGCATCGTATGTACAGGGTTGTTATAGAATTAGTTGGTTAATTTGAATAATAATAATTCAGACTGACCATTATCAATATATATAAAAGCCAAGTGTCGGTCAGTCAGTTATATTTCATTTCTCCGAATTTTATAAGTTACACGAGTCCAATTCCACTTTTTCTCGTATGATACTTCCTCTTTTGATTTCCTGTTTCCATTTTAGTTGAATTCAATCCCTAACATTAGCGTAAATAGCTCCTAAATTTCAACACTTTTTCTGCCATGTAAAAAGCATGTTAAAAAGGGAGTTCCTAGGACCAGATCAGGCATAGCGTTATGTGTGTGACACCACATCATTGTGACGTCAAGATAGGTAGGATCTGAAAGCCAGGAAGACTCCTGTGAAAAATAAGTAAACAAATTTGCACAAATTTATTTATCCAAAGGGACCAGTATGTAGCATGTTCACAGTCTTTAGGAAACATGCTACATACTGGTGCCTTCAATATCTACTTTAACAGTCTTTAGGTAAAGTAGATATTGAAGGCACCAGTATGTAGCATGTTCACAGTCTTTAGGTAATCTAGATATTGAAGGCACCAGTATGTAGCATGTTCACAGTCTTTAGGTAAAGTACATATTGAAGGCACCAGTATGTAGCATGGTTTAGTTTCCCATCATTTTTGATGGACTTTTATACTAGCATAGCTATAATATTTGATAAATGAGGTGATGGGGAAAGTGATACTAATGTCAAAAATAATTCTCACCAGGAGGCATTATTGTGCATTTTGGAACTTAGTGACTGCGGTTTACTAGATTCAAACAAGTATAAAACCACTCTATCAATATTAGCTTGGATTTATCACATTGTACGTATGTACTTGGTGTTTATTTATCAATTTATTCTTAATTTATGATTGTGATGGAAATTGCCTCCCCTCTAGCCTGTCATTGCTACAAGTGCCTTCTCTCTAGCATGTTACCGCTACAAGTGCCTCCCCTCTAACCTGTTACCGCTACAAGTGCTTCCCCTTTAGCTTATTATTGATACATGCAGATAGTCCATCATGAAGATTTGTGTTCTACTTATACATTATGCACCCACTTTTTCATACTGTCATTATACACCCACTTTTTCATACTGTCATTATACACCCACTTTTTCATACTGTCATTATACACCCA